AATAATAATAATAACAATAATAATAATAATAATAATAATAATAATAATAAAAGCGGTAGAAGCGATGAATCTATCGTCTGCAGTATAGTACACTTTTCTAAGTCATAAGATCTACTTTCACGAGTCTCACATGGATACCGACATGTACATAGACTAAGACGTATGCCCGGAAGGAATGACGCAATGTGAGTGTTCTTTCTATTCACTGTTAATAGAAAATGACAGACTCGTTTTTCACAACTTTAACCTAAATTAATAAAAACTAAAGTAAAATTGTACAGGTTTGGTTTAAAATAAATATTATAATCAGTATACTTTCCCAGTTATCATGTTTGCTAATCTTTCTAATGCATTATTTATATTCCCATTTACAATGTGATCAGTACCATTGTATCGATAGTATTGAGTGGGTATGATGTCGTGCTGCAGATACCAGTATATCAGTATAGCCGCTTTTATTAAAATAACTGCTACGTGGAAACCAGATAGCTAGTTACCTTCCATTCTTAATGAAGGTAAAATATGATTTAGTATCAAATTAAACTGCTGATAACACACTTCATAGATTTGTCAGGTGTCACGTGCGTTGCCATAGTATCGGTTGGGCTGGTTAGTATCGTGAAATGTTGGCTGTACATATTATGTGGTGCAACGTACCAGTTCAAATCACTACGTGTAAAATGTACTGTCAATTATCATGTTGGCCTTAAAGATGTCACAATCCACGAAGATTAATCGTTAATCTGACGGTGATATTTGAACATTTTTTAGGAGATTAAGAAGTACTTCGACTTAAAAATCAATCTGTCAAATGGAGAAAACGCCTCGTGGACTGAACCAAAGATTCATCACTTATAGTATCGTTTTTTGCTTTTGGCTGAATTGTTTTCTACTTGTTTTCTACTTTCAAAAAGAGTTTTATGCATTGTCGGCACACAAGTCATGGTTATTTTCTGTATACCGATGATTTTCAAAACGCAGGTGTTCATTGGATATAATAAATGGTTTGTATTTTGCACACGCTTTGGGCACATATTTTGACACATAATTCAAAACTACTTAAATGCAATTACACACGACTACATGCACTAATAGTAACCACACACCACGTAACAAAGCTCAAACAAGGCCGCCGTGATTGGTTGCAAAGGTCGATTCAAATTGTTAAGTTGAACAGACAGAGAGTGGCATGCCGGCTTATTTTGCCATTTTAATTTTTGATAAACGGATGAGAGAGAACACTATTCTACGTGTTTCATTTAAATATGGACGACAATTTCTATTCGTTCTCAGTATAACCCGTGGCGGACATGAAGTGATCAGGTATGCGTCACACACAGTTCAGTGACGCGTATAAAACATTACTAACTCATCTGACTTCATCACACTCATCGGAGTGGATTTAAAACAAAACTATCAAGATTCACTGACAAGAATATTGTTTAGGAAATAAGGGACGACACACTGTCCATTATTCGATGATAACATAGCAAGGACGTGATGCACATGATAATGCGTCTTGATCGTTATTTTAAGCAAACATCCCCAATATTGAGCTGTACGAATCCGTTATTTCAATTATAATACTCCGACAAATTGAATAGACGTGTAGTTGTATGTGCTTGTATTTCAGTGACGAATAACACGTTCAAGGGAATGTGATTGTCATTTTTATATGAAAATAACCAGGTTTTCTTATCGTGTAAGAGTCATGGAAGGCTTGTTGTTTAAACGATCTGTACAAATTTGTACACACATTCTTATTTTCCATGTTCGTAGAACCTATCCACCGATGAGAAAGCAGCGTTCCGGTAATGTGCAGCGCGAACAATAATAACACAGCTAGAAAGGCTGCAACCTGAAGTGTATATATCGCGTGTAATTAGGATGTGTGAGAAAACTGCTTTAAACTCATAACAAATTAAATGTAATCTGTGACAAGAGTATTACAAGAGAATGATCATCCATGAAAACACCCGTTCTTGTGACTCAGTAGTGACGAAGCGATTCTATGACGTAATGGGTGACACGAAGACCGTTCAAATTGTCTCTAGTCGTCCATTAATAAAGATTATGTTTTTAAGAAATATTACTACATACTAGATGGACCAATCACAGAGCTGGATTTACGACTTTTCCTCCATCTTTATAATTAATTTTGACGTCACAGAAGCATTCGTCAATAGAAGGCGCGACACACATCGACAAGTGAAAACTAAGGTGCGATATATCAACCTGCATACAATGTTATTATGGAAGAAATAAACTTAACATATATGGCACGTGACAATAAATAACTTAATAAACTGTAAAAATTAATGAAATTAGTCAAAAAGGTTGTTAATTAAGTTTGTGGAATTAAGGTCTGGTTAAAACTGTTACAAATGCGTGATATTAATGAAGACATTTCAAACATTGACAATATTCATTTATTAATTTTGGCAAGACATTCATCAAGGTAGTGTCAACCAATATCAACGTAAGTGATGTGTTTAGAGTGATTATTGAGGTTGGTGTACGAATGTCATTACATATGATAGTAGAGACTGTCGAATGTTGTATCGGACTTGAGAGAGCTTTTTATTTTGTCTTCACCGTGTACTGTAGGTACCGTGCTGTGTAATGGCCTGCTCCGTGTGTCGAAATTACAACGAACAAAACGGTCCGTACTTAGTACGTACTTAACACAGCGAGGGATGCCATTATCACTATATAACTACGTTTTATACTCGCTTGATATGATAAAGAGAATTATTTGTGATATTCAGAAGATTGCGAACATAAAATACAGTAAAACAATATGAATATCGACGAAACAGTTTTCTGACATTTGTATTGCATGCAGCACTATGTCAATATGTGTAACCACGACAACGGGTGTTTCGATAGTATCATTGTTAGATTAAACAAAACACATTTTCTGAAAAATAATCATCTACGAAAACATATAATTCATAAAAATACTTCACTTTTCTGAAGTATTTTATCACGTGACCTAAGATTCTTCACATAGAAGTTCAAGTTCAGATTTAGTAGATTTACGTTTTCAAGATTTTAAACATGAGTAACTAACGACTGTTCACGAGACTAAAGTAGGACATCTAAAAAAAGCTTGACTTATAATTAAAAGTTCCCCTTCGTTACCTGTCACTCACTGTCATACTACCCATAATAAGGAAAATGGACATCAGTTTTGTTCTAAAAGTTAACAAAGACTAAAGAGAGTCAGATTCAGCTTCCAAGTACGTTGTATTGTGCTTTAATTAGATTGGGTTTACGCATCCACGCCATGTGAGTACCTGTAAAATGTTCTCTGACCACCCTCTGACCTCCCCCGATCAACTATTTTCACTAACACGGAATGTTGTTGAAATATCGTACGCATACATCTAACTATGGTGCTTATACCTTTTGTGCATTCTATAATTACTTGTTTTGTGTCCCATTCTAGTTCTACACTTCGTTGTCGGTGATTCATTGTTCCAACGCCCTTTGTCCAAATTATTACTCCTTATTTTGATACCACTAATGGACACCCTGTTCAATGTGTTCTTCATTATTGTTTTGGCTTTGAAGACAGAATTGGATTCTACACAATGCTAGACAAGAGAATCGTTAATGACATTTCCCGTGGGTTTTGTTGGTGAAAGACACATCTAATCAGCCTGACAAATATGTGTTACTAATGAAAT